CCAAAATCACACGAGAAAAACTGAGGAGAAGGGATTGTGGCGTGGCTGTTTCTCCTGAGGGGTGAGTTTAACTTTCCTTCTCTCTCTTTCCAGTGAGCACACATGCCCTATAGCAAAAAACTTCAAAAAAAAAAAAAATTAAAAAGACAGGCAGACAGACATAAAGAAAGACAAGAAGTCTGCATCAAAAGAAAATGAACAGCCTATTGTGAGGGCTCTCCAGTAGACATGTTTTGATTTAGATCTCAGTATATAACAAGATTCTTGCTAATGTGAATCTGAATTTCTTCATATCCCAGCAGAATGCATTCATGTGTTCTTACTCAGTGAAGAAGGTTGTAGTAGATATTTTGGATTCAGGTTGCCTTTTACCTGAAAATCTTCCCGCTAAAAGCACTTGGAACAACGCGGTGGAGGAAAGATGGCAGTTATGTGCTGAACTGCTGTCAGTGTGAAACCTAACCTGGAGACGATTTTGCTTCTTCTAAATGCCATGGTATTAGTCTCTAGAACCAATATGGTATCTGGAGGGGGAAAATTAAATTTTAAAAATCAAACTATTAAAAAGAAGAAAGGAATTGAAACTTTAGAGTTTCCACTCCCATAGTCTCTAATACCAATAGAGACCAATAATATTCTATGACTTTAGGCTGCTGCTTACAATGTATGATCTTTTTATTCATTGTAGAACTAATCTGGAAAAGAACAAGCTTTTAAATATTGACTACTTGTTTAAAATCATGAGTCTTTTTTTTTTTTTAGATCTAGATTTAAGTTTCTTTTTAGTTTTATAATGGATTCTCGACAATCCGGATTATGTTACTGTATAAGGGAGAAGGAAGGTAAAGTACTTCATAAGCATGAAGTCTCTTCTTTCAGTTTCATGACTGTCTATGAGCAGGAGAGGAAAGATTGCTTTTCTACCCTTTTAGTGTCTGGGCCTAAAATTTAACTGAAGACAGATTAACATGAGAAAAACATACAAAATTTAATTATTATTTTTAATATATATGTGGGAGTCTATATAAGAAAAATTTTGAAAAAGAAAAAGAAGCAACTAAAGGTGAATTTTTATGTGCTGAATTGAACAAAGAATAGTAAGTTATGTGGCAAGGAAAAGGGTCTTTCCTCAGTTGATGGGGAAAAAAGTAAGTAGGATAAGAACTAGTTTCCTAAGGTTTGATTATACAGATTTTTTAACCCCAACTCCCCATCAGTCGTGATAAAACTGTTAACTTTCCTTCTGGTATAAGAAGGACATCTTCCATATGGGGGTTTTGTCTCTTGCTTTTCGGAAGAATGGGAGGTCAGGATATCTTTCTTGCACCTGTTGCTTTCCAAGTGCCTTTTGCTCAAAATAATCCTTTTGCCAAGTGGCACACTTTGGGGGAATATTCTGCCATACCTCATATGTAACTGGTTATATATCATTTTAGAGAATTGCTAATTATTTTGGTATTTAAAAGCAATATTAGCAAATAGTCTTCCACTTTGCCTCCAGGGCAGACAGTGATCACACTGTTCTTTTCCTCTAAGCCTGGACTATCTTAAATTCATTTTTTAAAAAATTTTTTTCCAGAGGGCAGATGCATTCACTGAAGAGAGGAGAGGGAGGGAGCGAGAGGGAGAAATAGGGAAAGTGAGGAAGCACTCCCCATGGGGCATGGTCATGCTGCAATTCTTTTCTTCTGTTTCTCCCTCTTTTCGGGATTTTTGGGCACACACATGCCCATTATGTTTCCTAAGCCCCTGGGTACAGAACTCAAACAGTGTGGTTGGCCATGTAGGATCCAGGTGCCTTAACCACCAGACTGGTCCTCAAATTCTTAATGCAGTAACAGTTCATAAGAGTTTCCATTTGTCATCTCTTAGCAAAAGTTAATGAGGTGATATTGGAAGTTGCTGATGAAAAACTCGAAGTATTTACATACACACATATACCCAGCTTTCGTTTTTGTTGTTTCTTCTGCCTGTAGAGTTTTGAATTAGAACATGGGAGTTTGGGATGTGTGAGAAATAAGAGGGCTGTAGAGGAGTAGCTGTGGAAAGGGAGAGGGAGAGCCTCTGATAGATAATATACAGGCATTGTGAACGATGTTAGAGGAGAACAATGTTGGAGGCAGGCAGGGGTTTCCCCACTGGAACAAGGAGCATGTGTGCACAGCACCCACAGCACTCCCTGTCCGTACATAGCTAACTACGTTCAGGGTTTGTTGGACGAGTGAATGATTCTGAGATGAATGATGTCACCATTCATGGAGATGAAGAATATAGGCAGGGGAGAAGCTGGTTTGCAGGGAGAAGTGGAAGTCAACTGAGGTTTAGACATAATGAACCAGGTGGGACACCCAGGAGATGTCCAGAGAGCATTTAGAAATACCCCTAACGTATAAAGAAAGATCAGAAATGGAAAAGAGATTGAGATGAATCTGGAGGGGTGGGGGGCTTATCCTTAGAGGCAGTAGCTGAAAGCATTGGTGCAGGCTGAAGTTTACAAGGAGGAAAAAGCTTTAACTCTATTAAATGTATTTAGTATTTTATTGCTGTTTTATGATTACTTGTATTAGTAATATTTAATTACTAATTAATTAATAATGACAGGACAGTTAACTGAGTACTTTGGAAAGAAAGCTCACAATGCTAAGGAACAGTTTGAGAACTGAGCATAGTTTACATTGGGAACATAGGTGGAGCCACTCTGAGAAACTGGCTGATAGGTCTCATTTTATTTGAGGTTTGTTTTTTGTTTGTTTGTTTGGGGTTTTTTTTAGAATTATTTATTTAGGGACCAGTAGCTGGTGTAGTGGTTATGTTGCAAGACTCCCACATGGCTGACCACAACTCAAGCCCCAGACCCAGTGGCTTAAAACTCACGTGTGCACGCCCAAAATCCTGAATGGAATGGAGAAGGGACTGCAGTGCAGCCATCCTCCCAGGGGGGGGTGGGGGGGATTCTCACTTTCTGTCTCTCTGTCTTTCCAGTGAGCGCATGTGCCCTGTAGCAAAAATCTCTCTTTAAAAAAAAAAAAAAGTATTTGTTTATTATTATTTTCACAGTAAGGCACATTAACTCACCAGAGAGACAGAGAGACACAGGGCGAGAAAGTGAGAAAGCAGGCTGCCAGGTCCAGGACTCAAACTGTGGTCATGAACTTTGGTCAGCTATGTGGGAGTCCAGCACCTTAGGTAACACATCACCTACGGGCCCCTTACTTGAGTTTTTCAAGCACCTGACAGTATCGGACACATAATAAAGAAAGAATGTTCAATAAACTCGAGGTAAATGGATGAGTTATTTTATAACAGTCCACACAGACATACAAAGGACACATTCACTTCCTTCTTTCAATACTCTAGTTAGGAATGTTAAAAATTATTGCTAATTTTAAAAGGTTTGTTTTATAAGGGTGGGAAATTTTCCTGTTTCACCACTTTAGTATGTCTTTATTCAATACAGTAGTTTCTTTCCCTCCCTTAAAATGAACAAATACTACACTTAGTAAGTCCCTTCATTCTAAGCAGGCATTACACTAACCATCCCTGGGAACATATCTTGGAAAATACCATTTTCATAAAAAGAAACATGTTATTTTTTCTTTGGGATTTTCTTCTTTTTATTGAAAGAGAATTAAGTGAATTAATTGCTCCATTTGTAGCTCATTGGGATTTGTTCCCCCTTCTCTGTATTAAATTGATAACTGGCACAGAACTGATGCAATCTAGGCCAGCGAGCATCAGGCAACTGTCAGCTAGCTGAGTTTATAAAAGAGATGAGATAACTGAAAACCAGGGTAACCAGCTGGGGGAAAATGGGGCATGTAATTAGAAGAAGGTATGATCCCTTGTCCTTCTTCCAGAAGGTAGGAGAAAGGTTTAAAGAAAAGCAGAGACTGTTCTCTTGATATTTGACCTGTTAAAACTGGTTATAGAAAAAGATGCACTAATACATGTTATAAACATTTACCTTGGATGTCATCCTTAGAGAAAAGCTATGTTGATATTCTAAAGTAATGCTTGTGCTGATGATTCGCTTAGGGTGTATTCAGTGTTCTCATCTGTAATATGTTAGGTAAATTCTATACATTTTTGTATTTCATGAATGCTCTGTTCCTGTTCTGTTAACTGAGCTAAGAACTTAGCAAACACCTGATTTCTGGTATACTGCTGCAAGCCTACTATGTATCGGGTCGTCGGGAAAGTCATGACGTATTTTTGCATAGGAATAAAAAAAATCAAACAGAAAGATGGGTCATGACTTTCCTGACCACCGAATAACATAGCAGAAAATGAAAACAGGACTTGGTGTCCCCCTGCCTCCTTTCACTGGATTTATAACGAGGAGCAGCACTCACACTAGAAAAAGTTCGAGTCCAGCTTAGCCTTTGTTAGCCTAGGCTTTTCGCTTAACCTCTCTAAGCCTTCATAGGTACCAGGCGAATAATGGTGCCTACCTCAGAGGACTGTAAAATAAAAAATTTCACTTAAGATCAAATGGAGAGAAAGTGCTTTTGTTAAGTGGGAAGATGGTATGTTAATGTAACGTTATATTTCTGTTGCTTGTTGTTGTTTTGTTGGCTTTTATGTTGAATTTAGTAGCTCTGGATTCTGGGATGACTGCGTTAGAAAATCTGTTTCATAGCAAACTGTGGGTCCAGTTTGAAATGCAGCACCTTTTCTTCTTTGTTGATGAGTAGGTGCTATGTTCCCTCTAATAGCATTGGGAATGCTATAGCTTTATTTAGATTCCTAGATATTTTAAAGGGAACTAAAATTAAAAGAGCCACTTAAATGTGAAGATGGAATTTCCACAGGACATCAGGCAAATGTCCAAGATAAATAAAGGTCTCTTGGGTAAGGTTCATTTCAAATTTGACTGACCATTTTACAATAAGTAGTTTGCTATTATTGAAGATTTTTATATCCTAAACACCAGAAATTTTTTTAAAATTTGTTAAAAAATCAAATATCAGTGAAAACTGAATTCTATTCTTTTTCTACAGTGCCTCCAAAGCCATTACATCTGCAGAATTCACCTTCGTCCAATAGACACCAAACCCCCAGGCATAAAGCTTTACCTAGTGCAAAACCAAGGATGGAGGAAGTTAAACCTGCCTCTGCTTCTTGTGTCTCAAAAGAAAAGCCCAGTAAGGTGTCAGATCTCATCAGTCGCTTTGAAGGAGGCAGGTAAGAGTTAATTTACAATGGGAGGAGCAGAGGGAGGAAGAAAACTGATTTTTGAAAAGATGAAGTCAGAGATTTTTCTAAATCAACATTTAGTATCTTTTCCCAGTAGGACTTTAGAAAAAGTGAATTTGCAAAATACTGCTTCTTGCCCCACTGTGGTTCGTTTCCTCTCTGGGACTCTCTGTAGCGCTTGGCCAGCAGCTTCTTCATCCAGCTCTGTACGCTTGTGTGTGTCTCAATTTTTCTGTGTCTGTGCATTTCACACTCCTCATGGGTCATTCTGTTGGTCTCTGGATGTCCAGACTGGAAGCTGGAAGGTTCTCTTTTTCACTTTGCGTATTTGTGACTGCGACTTCCAGGGTTTGTCTTATCCTTGGGGTCCTTTCTTCTTTGTGACTCGTTTTATTTACTATGGGTCATCTGCACCCACACAGTCTGTCCCTGTGTTCCTGTCACCATCCCCATCTTACGGTAAGTTTTGTAAAGAAAGATTATTACCCATAGTACAAGTCATTATTACCAATAGCAAAATTCATGCTGCATTTCAGCTTTGTATTTATTAAGTATAATTTTTTAAATTCTTTAGTCCTAATGTTTTGATTAAAAAAATAGTGAAATATTATGATTTCTTAAAGATGAAAACAAACCCATGTGTATTGGTTTTCTATTTATAAGCTCCTCAGTTGTTTTTCCTTAGAATCTTTTTGACTGAAAGAATTTCCATCACTGTTCTTTTTTAATGTTAGAAGACAATGCACATGCTCATAAGAGAGAAAGAGAGTGCATTTGTACGTACACACACACACACACACGTCAGGCCTGGTACACCACAATCCCGTTAACTTCAGTTCTCCATCCCATCAGGATTCAGTTATACACCCGCACACTTAACCTGTATTTCAACCCACCAAGGCCAGGATTTGAACCCTGGTTGGCTATTAGGACCCAACTTCCTCTGCACAACACTTATGGGACTGACCCTCCACACCAATTTAAACTAATTATTTTGTTTTTATCTTAATTTCATGGAAGGATTTCATGTTCATCTATCCCAAAACATCAGTGTATTATTAAACAGAACGTATATACTTTGTTTTTTGTCTTTAAATCCAAATATTTCTACTCATTCTAATGTAATATTTGGGAGTAGTTTCCCATCTGATGATTTTATTATTTTTTCGCAGGTTTCATTGTTGTTTATGTAATTAAATCTCAGTTTAGAAATACTTCGAGAATCTTGTAGGATTTGTGACTGAGCGCAACACTGCAGTGACCCTCGTTTAAAATGGGATTATATTAGTTATAAATTCTGGAGGGAAGTTATTTAAAGCCTGCCTTCATTTTTCATTCCTGGTCAATCATGGGAACATTCGTCATAAATATTTATACTTTAACATCTCCTCTGAAGTAGGATATATATATAATACCTTTGCTATCTTAAATTACAGTGATCTTTCCCAGAATGATTTAATTTCACTTAAATTTTTTTTTTACTTCTTGGGGGTAAATTGATTCAGTAACAGAGAGCGACCCCTCCGTTTGCAGATGCCAGTGGGCACGCCCTGTGACAGTGTAATGTAAGCAGGGATTGTCAGAGTTCATGCCAGGGCCAGCACTCCCAGGTCAGCGATAGCTTTGTGAATCTTCCTGTGAGTCAGTGTTCCAGAGGCTGAGTCCCGTAGGCTTCACCATTTTGGTAACCCAGTCTTCACTTGGGAAATGTCTGCAGTTATTCCACTTAATGATGTTGGTTTTCTTAACCTTTTTAAGTTTTGCAAATTTAGTCATTTTGGGATGCAAAGTTTTAAGGTTTGCTCTAAGGAAAGATGTGCTGTAATGTATTTATGATGTCATAAGCAAGCTTGTTCTGAGTGCAGATAGGGTATGATGGCAGTGTTTTGACAGGTCTGGTAAAGGAATATTATTTGAGGTGGAGTCCACTGCCAATATGAAAAGTAACGATATGTTCTCAGTGAGAACAGCCAGTTTTCAAACTGGCCCTTAGAGTATCTGAGTGGGTTAATATTGCATTGGGTCTGTAGATTTTAGTGGGGTATTTGTCTTTTCTGTTGAGCGACATCCGAGTGCCTACAGGGTGGTTTCTTATTTTAAACTCAGTTATCACAGCTTAGTCTTGCACATGATGGAACAGAGAGAGTTCACTGGGCTTTGGGTTGCCACAGGAAACTGAAAGGAAGATCCAACATCTGTTGGAGTGGGGTCTGATCAGGATGGTGTGAGGGGCATATCACACTGCTATTAGGACCTTACCTGAATATCGTAGTCTGAGTAACTGTTTCATTAAGAGGATAATTTGAAGCAAGTAGATTTTTTTTGAAGAATTATTTTTAATTTTATATACTTTTTTAAAAATTTTGACCAGATAGACACAGAGAGAGGGAGGGAAAGTGAGAAAGCAAGCCACCAGGTCCAGGACTCAAACCGATTGGCCATGTGGGAGTGTCCAGCGCCTTAACTGCCATACCACCTACTGGTCCCCAAAGCAAGCAGATTTTATTTACTTACTGTGGTTGCCTTTTTATTCCCTGTCCTTCTTTCCCTCTTAGTGAAAGGGAGAGTAAGGGAGTATACTCTTTTTTTATAATCTAGAAAAGGCTTCAGGATTTCAGAAATAAATAACATTTTCCTACAGAACTGAATGTTGCTTTTTTCCAAGGATCCTACAAGGTCAACTATTTCTTCCATGGTTTGGCATCCATAGAGCAGTGATCTTCTAAGCACTGGTTCAGCTCCTGCTTCTATGAACCCCTTCCCCACCCCATCACAGATAACCTCGATTCCACTTATTATTGGAAATGTCCAGTTCCCATCCAATGCAGTCCTTTAGAAAAGTCCTGAGCTTGCCTAAGTGTGATTCAGAGGATCTGTTGGAGATCTCTTTACTGGGATACCAGACACTAATGTGGGCAGGGAAAAGAAGACAGATTCACATCTCCAAGGGCTACCTGGGAAAAATCGAGGCCAAGGGTATACTCTTCTAGAAGGCAAATCAGTAACCAAGTGTGTCACACTTATTTATATTGAGCACCTCCAGCTTTTCTCCATATGACATTGTCCCCTACCAGGTCTGTCCTTCCCTTCCTGTGGTGCGAGACCTCCATCTCTCTTTTCTCCCTGATCATTTTCTTGCTGTCTGGTTCCCTGTTTCCGTTCTCTAGTCCAGATCAGCAGTGGCTGAGGGAGTGAGTAGAGTGACAGAGGCAGCAGCACACCTTTCAGCACTGCCCCTGGGCCCTTGCTGTGGTGTTTCCCCACCTCCCTCTACCCTGTCATCTTTCTGCCTGTGCCAGGTAACCCAGCTAGTCCAGGTCCTGGTTCCCACATTTCACCTGCCCTCATCCTACCCTCCGTGTCTCAGTGTCTTACGACATGGGGGAGATCGTGAGATTGAAGACTGGACTTTATGGCTTGAACCCTGGCTTTACCAGAAGTAACCATGTGTTATCGGCCACATTTTGTAATTTGTAAGCCTAAATTTCTTTGTATAGGTCCTCAGCTTTTAGAATTATGCAGAGAATGAAACAGGATAATCAGTGTAAAGGACTTCATGAAGTCTGTAGCACTTAGTAAGTATTGCCTGCTGCTAGCACATTATCCTCATGACCAAGGTCGTCATGGTGATCCTGGGTTCACTGAGTGTCTCCTGGGCTTTCCATGTGTCAGCACTGGGAATCTCTCCCAGGGTTTTGTGTCCCTCTCCCACTCCCTGGAATCCTAGATTAAAGTGTCATACAGGGGCCAGCAGGTGGCATAGTAGGTAAGACACTAGACTCCCACCTGGCCAACCGTAGTTCAAGCCCTGCACCCAGTGGCTTGAAAGTCATGCTGGGCGTGTGTGCATGCATACATGTGTGCATGCCCAAAATTCCAAGAGGAGAATGGAGGAGCAGGAACTGCAGCATGACCGTCTCCCCGGGAAATCACATTTTCCCTCCCTTTATCCCTCTCTAGCTAGCGTACAGACCGTATGGCAAATACCTAAATAAATAAATAAAACCCATACAAATATCTCCACAGGAATGTCCTTATGTATTGGAAGTAGGCTCCATTGTCCCATTAGTACCTATTAGGATTGCTTACAGTATCAACTAGTAATAAGGACTTCAAAGAAAAACACAATAGGGGCCAGTCTGGGTAGCACAGTTCATAGCATATTGGACTGTAGTGCTGGTGACCGATCTCGGGTTTGGATCCTCAGATTGGCTTTAAAACAAACCAGGTACATCCATGCTAGCATCCAAGATCCTGAGGAGCTAGAGGGCTCAGGAAAGGGATCATGGCGTGATGAGAAGGTACTTTCTCTTCTTGTGTATATGCACACACATTCTTTACCTAAATAAATAAATAAATAAATAAATGATGACGTGGGGTTAGTGATGGATTGTGCTGCTATAGGTAGCTAATCCTGAAAAGTTTCTTGAAAAAGTGATATCTGAGCAGAAACCAAATGTGCATGCATACATGTGTGCATGCCCAAAATTCCAAGAGGAGAATGGAGGAGCAGGAACTGCAGCATGACCGTCTCCCCGGGAAATCACATTTTCCCTCCCTTTATCCCTCTCTAGCTAGCGTACAGACCGTATGGCAAATACCTAAATAAATAAATAAAACCCATACAAATATCTCCACAGGAATGTCCTTATGTATTGGAAGTAGGCTCCATTGTCCCATTAGTACCTATTAGGATTGCTTACAGTATCAACTAGTAATAAGGACTTCAAAGAAAAACACAATAGGGGCCAGTCTGGGTAGCACAGTTCATAGCATATTGGACTGTAGTGCTGGTGACCGATCTCGGGTTTGGATCCTCAGATTGGCTTTAAAACAAACCAGGTACATCCATGCTAGCATCCAAGATCCTGAGGAGCTAGAGGGCTCAGGAAAGGGATCATGGCGTGATGAGAAGGTACTTTCTCTTCTTGTGTATATGCACACACATTCTTTACCTAAATAAATAAATAAATAAATAAATGATGACGTGGGGTTAGTGATGGATTGTGCTGCTATAGGTAGCTAATCCTGAAAAGTTTCTTGAAAAAGTGATATCTGAGCAGAAACCAAATGACGAGAGGAAAGAAGCCACACCAGTGTCTTTGGCAGATCGTCCTAGGCATAAAGCAGCTACTGCAAAGACACGAAGTTTACTGGGGATGGGCAACAGCATGGGGCGTGGCTGGAGCACAGCGAGTGAGGGGACCTGAACAGAGTAAGACTGGGGGCTCCAGGGGGTAGATAGGGGAACCTCACAGGCTGTCATCTGGGTCACTTTCTCCTTCAGTGCAAGGAAACCCTCACACAGTCTGGATCTCTTTTTTTTTTTTTTAAGAATTATTTATTTAATTTTATTATTATTATTTTTTTAATTTGACCAGAGAGTAAAAGCAAGCCTCTAGGTCCAGGACTTAAACCATGGTTGGTCATGTGGAAGTCCAGCACCTTAACCACTATGCCACCTGCTGGCCCCTGGAGATCTCTATTCCTGACTAGAAACTAGAAACTAGATTGAGGGGGTATCAAGAGTGGGATAAAGGAACCGACTTGGCTACTGTGGCCTGTGTAATAAAGTTTTTGAGAGTGTGTTCTGCTCACCAAATAAAAATGACTTCCTGTGGAACCAGCAGATTGCATAATGGTTACATCGCTGAGTCCCCATGTAGTAGGCCATGGTTCAATTCCCAGACCCACCAGCTTAAAACTCACGCTGGGCATGTGTGTGTACGTGCCCAAAATCCCAAGAGGAGTGTGGGGGAGAAGGAATTGCGGCATGGCCATTCTCCGTTGGGGGTGATTTCTCTCTTTCTGTCTCTCTCTGTAAAATGCATGCCCCAAAGCAAAAATCTCTCTCTTAGTTAAAAAGAAGGATTTCTTGTTTTACAATCTATTCATAAATTGAAGCTGGCTATACTTGTTTTTTTAAAATGTTAAGAAAGTAAGATCTTGGGGAAATAGGATTTTTATTTAATATAAATATTTCTTATATCCAAGTGTTTATTAACTAGTCAGTGTTAAGCAGTCCAAGGAAATGTTTCGGACCCTATAAGTAAATCTCAGGCTCATCATTTATTTAAATGTCTATCTACAACTGGCCTCATTGCCTAGTAGTTAAAGAGTTAGATCCCTCATGACCAACCACTGTTCAAATCCCAGCCCTAGCAGGAATTTGGAAAACATGGTAGGTACATGTGTGCCTATGTTCTGAATCATAGCAGGATGGAGAAATGGAGGACAAGGGGTTGTGGGGTGACCATGGCCCATTGGGGGTGCTTTCTCTTTCTCTGTCTATCTCTGGCAAATGCACTCATACTCTGGCAACTGAAAAAAAATATTTAAATATGGATAACATCCCTAAAGACTGGGAGCTACATGGAATATTCAAATCCATGTTTTTAAAAGTATCAGAGGTAGGATCAGCAGGTACTGATTCCTACATAGCTGACTGCGTGATTCTAGTCCCAGACCCAGTGGCTTGAGAATCATGCCAGGCATGTATGTGTGTGTGCCCAAAATCCCAAGAGGAGAATAGAGGAGAAGGGATTGCAGTGTGGCCATCCTCCCTGAGGGTAGTTTCTCGATTTCTCTCTCTCCCTCCCTCCCCCCTCCCTCTCTCTCTCTCTCTCTCACACACACACACACACACACACACACAAGCACATGTACTTTATAGCAACAAAATAATTTTAAAAAAGTATCAGAGGTAGAAACCAGTATTTTCACTCATAACCCTTTTCAACTGAAGTAAAGTTGTCTTTTTTTCTCACATTTTTCCATGTCAGCGTGTTCATTCTTCCTTTGAATTTTATCTTCCAGCGCATTATCCAGTTACAGCGATCTGAAGAAAGATTCTGCTGTGAACTTGAATGCCCCTAGAACCCCAGGAAGGCACGGACTGACAACCACACCTCAACAGAAGTTCTCCCAGCACACACCCCAGACACAGGGACATGAGACAGACCAGACTCAGGGCAGACAGACTTGTGTGGCCAATGGTATAATGGCAGCACAAATCCAGGTGGAATGTGAGGAGGACAAAGCGGCCACTCTCAGCCCAGATACTCCTGTTCAAACTTCAGAACCCTTGCTTGATACGCACTTAGTGAACGGAGAAAGAGATGAAGCTTCCACAGGTCCTGCGTCGCCCACAACAAATGACTGCGATGGCAATGCTTCTGATGGAAGCTCCAGGACGCCAAGCATAGGCCCGGTGCTCCCTCTTGAAGAGGGAGGGCCAGAAACAGAAGCCAAGGAGCAAGAGAGGGAAAACGGAGAAAGCCCTCTGGAACCGGGACAGCTGGACCAGCACCAAGAGATGAAGGTAGAGCCTGAGACTAGCTCTTGAGATTAGCTCACAAGTAGGGGAAACACCACCTATTCCACTGCTGGTTTTGAGCCCTCGTTTCATTGCATCTGTGAGGTGAAAGAGTCAGATTACCAACCAGGAGTCAGGAGTTAGTCTGTCAAGCTCTGGCTGCCAACGAGCATTTCAGCCCTCTCTTCAAAGAGATAGCTCACTGTGTGTGTGTGTGTGTGTGTGTGTGTGTGTGTGTGTGTGTGCACGTGTACATGCATGTGCATATGTTGTTTCTGTTGATCTTCCCACTCTGATTTCAAGAGTCAGAATGGGGTGGAGATTTTATTGATAGAAGGAAAAAGGTTCACTGTTGCTCTAGATGGTTCTGTGTTCCTAATATTTATGGGCTAAGCAAACAGAAACTGTATAATTTTTGTTATGCAAAAAAAAATTTTTAAGTTTGCTAAAGGGCTCATGCATTTGCCAGAGAGAGACAGAGAAAGAGAGGAAAAGTGAGAGATCACCCCCTAGAGGGGATGGCCATGACACAGCCTCATGTCTTCCATTTTTCTCTTGGAATTTTGAGCCCATACGCTCATGTGCCTAGCATGTTCCTCAGGGCACAAGGTCAAGGACTTAACTGCGTAATCAGCCTCATGGAATCCAGCCACGTTAACCTTCATGCCACTTGCTGGCCCAGAAGATTTTAATCCTTTTTGCTCTTCATTCATGTCAATATCATGCTTTGGGAACATTAAGAACTATGTCTTTTTTGGGGACCAGCAATTGGCATAATGGCTATGTTGCTGGACTCCCGTGTAGTTGACCACAGTTCGAGTCCCAGGCCTGGCGGTTTAAACTCACACTGGGCGTGTGTGTGTGCATGCCCAAGATCCCGAGAGGAGAATAGAGGAGAATGGATAGCCACGTGGCCATCCCTCCTGGGGGCTGATTTCTCACTTTCTGTCTCTCTGTCTTTCTGGTGAACGCACACGCCCTATAGCCAAAACCTTTCCATACAAACAGAAAAAAAAGAACTATGACATTTTCAAAGCATTTGGATTTTTGGGGGATCAAAAGCACAATAAATTTCCTAGCAGATGGCATGATGATTAACACACTGGACTCCCACATGGCTGACTGTGGTTCAAGTCCTGGACCCAGTGACTTACTTTCTTTCTCTCTGTGTCTCTGTCATTCCATCTCTGGTGAATACAGGCAAAATTTTAAAATAATGAAAAATAAAGTTAAGTAAATGATTCTTTAAAAAATGTATACATCTCTGAAAGATAAGAAAAATGTTTCAATTATTTATTCTCTCTTACTGGATACTGATAACTGTAGGAGAGTTGAGAATTGAAAATTATAGGAAAATTTATAAATGGCAAATCCAAGCTTTAAATCTGTGCAGGATTTTTTTTTTTTTTTTTTTTTTTTGGTGCTGTGCTTTAATTGGCATCAGTACAGGCAGAAATCCAAAGGGTTGATACTGAAATGCTAGAGTGCAAAGTGATCAATTGACATATTTAGAACTTTAACTGAAGTGAAATCAACCTATGGTATAATTTTCAGTGACCCTGAAAAAAAAATCCTAAATGATAAAAAGAGCTAACGGTTTGTTTTCCTTTGGTTAGTGAATTAATTTTAAATACTGACTCGCAAGCAGGGAAAGTTTAAATAAGGAAGTGGGTGGGAGAAAATGAGTCATAGTTGGTAATATTATCTAAAACATTAAAGAAACAGGGCATTGCAGAGTGACTCTACATCTTGATAGAGCGGTAGGTTTTACTGTCTGTGAGAGAACCATAGTGCTTGGAGAAGATTAGAACCGAGAAACCTTTTACAGTTGGGATGATGCCACCCGCAAGTATTTATAAACCAGTAAGAGCTGTTCATATTAAGGGAAGTATAGGGATGGGTGGTGAGGCCTGTGGTTGTTGGGTGGTACTTTTTTTTTTTTTCCTGTTACATATTATTATGTCATTGTCGTAGATGAGTCTTGTTTGGGGAGGTTTCAATAGCGCTTTTCTATTAAGCAACTTTTCTATTAAATTAGTGAAACACTGAATAGTACAGCTGACCTTTCTCCTAAACAAGCCTCTAACCAGTGCATGGCACATGCTGTGTGTGGGAAGTAGAGAGAAATGTTCTCAGCAGCGCTGTTGGTCCAAGCGCCGCATCTCTGTCATCGAAAGAGCACTGTTAGGATTTAATGTGGACATGGTGACGGTGTGTTCGATGGGTGTGTTCTTTGTCGCTCTGATGTGACATTGTCTTTTCTTGTTCTAAAATGCAAACCTAAGTGTTAGTAGTGTTAAAATGATAAATTTTGCAAGGTGTATTTTACCACACTAGAGAATAAAATCTTTAAAAAAAAAGTTAGTATACAGGTGGACCAAAATATTGAAATTAGGGAATCTTTTTTAAAAAACTGTTTCACTCTGTATTTTTTAAAATAATTGTGCATGTCATCAATGGCTACATTTTTAGTAATAAATGAGTAGGGGGAAACTATAGAGTTAAATGTGAAAATACCTATTTGCCATAAGTACTCCCCCTCCCCAGCTTCTGCTTTTCCACAGATGTAGCCACTGTGGATGGTTTCTGTGCTGCTTTCTAAGCCCTTTCCTGTGCATTTCTATTGACATAAACAAAGCTCAGTCAGTAGGCAGATAAAGTAAGTGCTCTAGGTAACTGGCACAACAGGATCCCACCACCACCACCACACACACACACAAAAATTAAGTGTTTAAATGTCTAGAAATAAAAAAGCAGAATTTGGGGGAACTTTTAAATACTAATTTAACATGATTTTAGTCTTAAACAATAGGATATTATTTATGTGCCATAAGGTCTTCAGTGCTTAGGATTTTAAGATTTTTTTTCCAGAGGGAGTAGTATTTTATTTATTCATTTATTTGTTTTCAATTGCTCAAATACTCCACGTAGACTTTATTTTACTTTTTTTTTCTTTTTTTTTGATAAAGGGTACATGCACTCATCAGAGAGAGAAAGAGAAAGGAGAAAGCACCTCCCCATGGGAAATGGTCACGCTGCACTCCCTTTTCTGCCTCCTTTTGGGAGTCAGGGCACACAAACATGTGTGCCTAGAGTTTTTAAAGCCACTGGATCTGGGATTTGAACCGCCCAGTGGGTAATGTGGAACCTGGCTGACTTACCCACCAGGCCAAGGAGCCAGCCCCACAAAATTATTTTCATTAAAATTATTCAAGAGCGGGACCAGCAGTTAGTGTAATGGCTATGTCGCTGGACTCCCATGTAGTCTACCGCAGTTCGCATCCCAGACCCGGGGGCTTAAAACTCACACCGGGCACATGTGCGTGCGTGCCCAAGATCCCGAGAGGAGAACAGAAGAGAAGGGATTGCGGCGTGACCATTCCCCCTGGGGGGTGATTTCTCACTTTCTGTCTCTATCTCTCTCTCTGTCTGTCTGGCGAGCACACGCGCCATATAGCAAAAACCTCTCAAAAAAAAAAAAAAATTCAAGAGCTGACCCAATAGCCTAGTGATTAAGGGAACCAGATTTCATGTGGTCAACTGCTGTTTGAGTCCCAGCCTAGTGATTTGAAAAACATGCCAGGTGAGTGTATATGGTACCCCAAAATCCTGACAAGACAGAAAGGAGGAGGAGGGATTGCAGTGTACACAGCCCTACTGGGGGGTGCTTTCTTTCTCTGTGTGTCTTTCCACCTCAGTCCTATGATCACACATGCCCTCTGGCTATTAAGAAATGTATTTGATATGTTACTTTAAGTATACAATGCTACTTAAATGGAAAATGTTCAGTAAATTCATACATTATACACTTTTCTGAAAATTTTTATTCTTTTTTTAGACATTCGATCTCTGTACATCATTTGGCTTATAAAGAGAATTTAGCCAACATGAAATACACCTCAGACCAGTCCAGTTGAGACTACTATACACACTATCATCAATAGATAATAAACCATTTGTGTGTCCCACAAATGTCTTGCCTTTCTATTTTTTCCCCCTGATTTCCTTCCCTATACTCTTCCCTTCTCCCACCCTCCTTCCACATGGTCTCCAGCATCCATAACTATTTTCATTTCTTTTATGCCCTCTAATCTTTCAGTATCTACCATGGAGTGTGGACAGTCAGTATATATTAAGTGGAGACATACAATATCTTTCTTTCATAGCCTGACTTGCTTCACTGAGCAATAAATCTTTCATATTCGACTGCTTTCTATCAAAATATCTTTTTTCTTTTTTTATGGCTGAATAGTATTCCATAGAGTATATGTCCCACACTTTTTCAATCCATTCATCTGTTCATGGACATTTAGGTTGGTTTCATGTCTTAGCAATCATGAATAATGCCGCAATAAACATTGATGTGGAAGGGCTCTTCTAATTGAACACTCTTCTGTCCTTTGGGCAGATACCCAAGAGTGGAATTGTTGGATCATATGGTAGTTCTATTTGTAGGTCTTTGAAGAACCTCCATATTGTTTTCCACAGTGACTTGGCCAATTTACATTCCAACCAACAGTGTAGGAGAGTTCCCCTTTCACCACAACGCTGCCAGCTCTTATCATTTTTTATATTTTTAATCTTTGCCATTTGGCCAGGTGTTATGTGCTATCTCACTGAGGTTTTAATTCACATCCCCCTTATGATGAGGGATGTTGAGCATTTCCTCATATGCTTTTTGGCGGTTTATATGTCTTCCTTAGAGAGTTTTTGTTCTGCTCGTTTTCCCATCTTTTTTTGGGGGGAGTGGGAGGTTTTTCTATAGGGTACGTGCGCTTGTCAGAAAGGCAGAGAGAGAGAGAGAGAAAGCATCCCCAGGGGGGATGACCACACCACAGTCCCTTCTCCCCCCTTCTCCTCTCGGGATCTTGGACATGCACACACACACGCCCGGCGTGAGTTTAAGCCACCAGGTCTGGGACTCGAACCGTGGCCGACTACATAGGAATCCAGCGACAGCCATTATGCCTATTGCTGGTTCCAATTTTCCCAGTTGGGTTAATCGT